ACGGCCGCAACTTCTCTCTCTCCCTATGGTTCTCACAGTAAACAGCGACTGTTTCCCCAAACAGCATTAACCGGTTTGGAGAGAAGGAGATTAGTTGTTCCCAGAATTTCTTGTCATCTTAAAATTAAATTACTGTGATGTCACTTTTATCAGCTGTAGAGGTGTGGGAAATATTATTATTATGAGTCTTGGAGAATGAATTGTTACTTCTTTTAATTCTTTGTTTCAACATTTTTTTTCGAGGATCTGAGAAAATCTGCTGTCAGTTTAGTTGATATTGTCACTGCTAATTAAAGCAGGGATCTCCGACATGTGAAAGGGTGCCGTCACTGCACAGACTCGTTCAATATGCAGAAATTATTTAACTCTTTTCATTTCAGGGTCCAGAGAAGAAAGAGAATTCTCCAGAGGTGATAACGGCTAATCTTGACATTGCATTGTGGCTGGGACCATCAAAACATAGGAACCTCTGTTTCGACTCGCTGCCCACAGGCTATGAACCTGTGGAAGGCTTCGGATCTCACCCCAGTGAGCTTGCGCCCGTACCTACTTTTATTCGCTACGCGGAGAAACATGTGAGAATCTGCTCATTAGCCTACAATTATAATCAAGTAGCAATAATGTAAGATTTGACGTTTTCACGGCGGTGAGTATGAAGAAAGCAGTCTTCTGGGATGTGGCGCCGTGTAAATATTATGTTAACCAACGTTTCGAAGGAACGTATCGCCTCCATCCTCAGGGTAGAAGACAAGAAGAAATCTGCGAGCGAACCAGCGTGAGCGGCGCCACATCTTAGAAGACTTCTTTCTTCAAGTAGCAATAAGTTCTTACAGATGGAAACTACGAAAGAAGAAAGACAAATTGATCATTCAGTAAGGTGTACGGTTGAGGGCTCACGTTGAGCAAGGATAGGCCTAGATCCAAACGTATGACAGGGCCTACTAAAGGTTTGACCACACAGAGCGCTACGTACGCTATATTCGCTATACGAACAGAAAAATATCTCCCTTTATTGCCAATGTGACTGGCCACAACAGAGTTCCGTACGCTACGTACGCTATGTTCCCTATGTTAGCTGCGTCGCAGAGTGTACACAGCGTACGTGGCGTACGTAGCGAACATAGCGTAGCGCTCTGTGTGGCCGAACCTTTAGAGTCCTGTTCAACGGTTTCTGGGGAATTTTATGATGCGGTTAAACCTCCATGTCCTACCGAGTTATGGAAATCCTGAAACACTAACATAATTGTTATCATGAGTACGGTTTTCGTCCCAAGGATTTTCAAACACAACTCTTTGGAAACAGAATTTGTTCTCTTCATCAAGTGTACGAAGTTCAGTGAAAATCCGTTTAAATTTCTCAAATTATTATATGTGGACAGACATAGGTCCTCACAGCAGTGGTTATGCAGAGTTCTGCTTTCTGGGATACAGCGCCGTGTATTCCGTTGAAAGTCAATTGACATTTTGGAGGAATATGTCGCCTCCATCTTCAGGGTCGAAGAATAAGCCAGGCAGAGCTTGTTACATGCTTCATGCTGGGTTCTCACTTGGCTTATTCTTCAATCCCGAAGATGGTTGCCACATGTTCCTCCGAAACGTCAGTTGACTTTTAAGTGACTACAGTGCATTGTATGCAAATAGGTACAACTTGTCAGACTTGGTGATGTAAACAAGCTCATTTTTGAAATTTTTCACTACAAACGCACCAAAAACTTAATGAACACTGTCAGCTGTTGTTGTAGCTTGTGAAATAATTAGTAGCAGATATTTTTAAAATGGCCGACTACTGGGTTGACTTAGGATACAAAGTAAGTTGAAAATCTGCAGTACTTACTGAATCATAGCAATGTTCATGAGAGTGTCTCCCTTGCATCACCAAAAGTTTCGCCATATTATTTAGGTCTATACAAGGCCTCATGTGACGTGTATCTTAGTAAGTACTTAGTACAGAACACTGATCGCAGCAGTGTTAGCTTTAAAGTTTGAAGTAGGTTATACAAATCGTCTAAAATTTTCTCGGATATGAACTGATTCCAACGGAGAGGCGTTTATATTCCGGATTTAAGTGATATGGAAAGCTCTGACAAACTGGGCATAATTTCCTGTTATTTAACATACTCCTCAGTTCACATGACAGTCTCCATTCCATTACTAACTGCAAAACTATGTAAGGCAATAGGTAAACTTATCTTTGGGTTTTAATTAATTAAGTCTTAATGAAGACTAGATGTAGGTGAATAATCACCTTTACACCCCTGCCGCTTTGCCCTCAGAAGAACAGCCTCTATTACGCGCTGGATATGAGGCTGGGTGAACCTTATTTGGAACAGAGAAATATTTTTGTCTCTGCCGGGATTCGAACCCAGACTCCTCGACTGTCCGGTTCGTAGCCTCTTCTCTATGCCGACTGGACTACAAAACTGCGTAGAATTTTAACTCAATACCATTGTATATATATATATACAATGGTATTGAGTATATATTGTAACGTGTTTGCGTAACAATATATATATTTGTGTCTGAAACACAGCCAGCCTCAAAAACCTAGGACACCCTATTGAATCCCTTTTGCATGTGAACATGATGATGACGATGACATATCATGGACGAAGATCAGTGCAACAGGACGCTAAAATACAACATTATGACGATGACAGTAATGTTCTGTAAAGAGTTAATTTTGCTTCCGAAATTTCCGCTATGCTTTGTAAGGTCAGCGTGGGTTCAAGTCTTACCCAAATTTAATTACCATAATTGTTGCTTGTTATTTTGCCTAATTTAAAACAGGCTAGTAAAACATGTCCCATGTTAGTAACTGTATCATTTCTATATGTCTTAAATTTTGTAATCAGAAGTAAGTTCCAAGTCACGCAATTTTTAAAGTTACTGACTAGAGACGGATTTTTCTTCTCAGGTCTTCGAATGCCGTGCTTTCATTTACCAAGGTTGGCTTAAACAGGGATCTGACAAAACAGCGCTGTGCGATTCTTTTGTGAGAATAGTCCTGGGTTCCCAGAACAAGGATACTAAGGTATGTAAATGGAAGATATAGTTAATAAACAAGCAACAAGTAATAATATCAAGAGACAAAAACTAGCTTGTGTAACTGCAGGTTACAACTTAACAGTTCCAAAAAAAAATGAAATTAAACCAATGGTCTTCAAAGGAAAACATCCTTTAAGATATAGAATAATGCATATGATAAATAAGCTGAATAAATAAATCCATTTAGTCATGTACAATATAAAATTTCAATATTTGAGAATATCAATTTGGAGATAAAAGTAATTAAATTTCAACAAGAGTATGGGACTGCAAAATGAAAGATAGAGAAATAAATTTTATGAAACTATGTCCATCCCGCTAGTAGCTTAAAGCACTGAAGTATGGACAGTGATAAAAGCAACAATTAATACGCGGTAACAGGAATTTTACATATTCTCAGAGGTACCATGATATAGTGCACCGTACCTTAAATACACCCTCCTCCAACATACTCACCTTATCACCTCAACCTTGTATTTTCTGACATTCCTCAATATTCCCTCTCCCTGGAAAATCCCCCCACATTTTACAGTGTTATTCTCCCTACAGTCTTTTATTTTTAATTTCTTTAAGTTCAGTACGTGTATATCTGTTTCTAGGTTGAAAATCTAATGATTATATGACACTAAGTGGGACAGGACTTAATTCAACTAACAAATTCATGCTGACATTACAGTTCTTGTATGTGTTCCGTCTTCATTCTTATACTCCTCACGTATCACCTGATGACGGCCTGTCTGCGCCGAAACATGTTGTGTGGAATAATAAAAATATTTGTTTGTATGACGGTAGCCCCACCATTTATATTTGTGAGCGCCATACACAGGATGCAACACTAGATTGCAGTATTACGTATAACTGCACATAAAGAAATGTCTGTAGTTTGTTTCAAGATGCTTTTTCTTAAGTGCGTGGTTTTATATTGACCGCCTCTGTGGTCTAGTGGTCAGAGTCCTGACTACAGATCCAGAAGTCCGGGTTCGATTCCCAGCGCTACCAGATTTTCCGAGAAGTAGTGGGTCTGGAACGGGGTCCACTCAGCCTCGTGATGATAACTGAGGAGCTATTTCAAGAAAATAGTGGCTCCGGTCTAGAAACCGAGATTAACGGCCGTGGGCATTCGTTACGCTGACCATTCAACACCCTCTATCCGCTAAAGTAGGCACTAACTTCGCTGACAACCGGCGGTCGCTCGGTCGGTATGGTTCGCTTGCGGACTACAGGGGCAACGGATTTTGTTTTTGTTGCTTGTTTGCATGGTTTTATATTATCGAATGAGAGGATGAATGTCAGGTTTGGAAAGATGGGAAAGGACGATGTAATTGTCCGTTTTAATGCACTCAAATATAGACTGGAGCGAGAAAAATCATGAAAAGCATGAAAAATTCGAATATACATTGCCATCATAAGATTTGCCTCCTGTGATTTCTGTTGTGAGTCAGACCTGTCAGCTTCGTACACTCGCATCTTCTTTCTCAGAACACAATCCAAAATTCCCATGATTCACTTTAATTTTACTGAGTATTCTGTTAACAGGTTGTGCCGGCGAAGCTAGACCCTACGTGGGACGAGACACTAGTGTTCTGGGACGTGATTCTCTATGGTTCTCGTGATTACATCAAGTTGCATCCTCCCACCATTATGATAGAAGTGCTGGACAAGGACGTGATTGTAAGTTTTTGTATACTGTACAATACCAATGTAATTAAATTTGTCACCACTTTCCATTAAAATGTTCAGTAGGCACTATTAAATTAGAGTACTATCTTGGGGAGATAACGCCATGTAGTCGGACATTTCGGAAAGACTTATCACCTCCATTTTCAGGATCGAAGAATAAGTCTAGCAAGAAACCAGCGTGAAAGAAGGTGAAAACAGAGCCTGCTTGCCAGTTGTTTTCACGCTGGTTTCTTGTTCGGCTTGTTCTTCGACCCTGAAGATGGAGCCGATATGTTCTTCCGAAACATCAGTTGATTTTCAACGGATTACATGGCGTCATATCCCGTAAGATAGAGCTGCTCAGGAAAATCAATCAACTACATATATTACACATCGTGGAATGAGAATGTTCATAAAGGGTAGGAGCATATAGGATTTAGGTTGGGACAATCGTAGCTTATTTAAAGATACTATACTGCCATTCTGCCGGTCACACTGGCTGTGCGGTCTAATGTATGAACTGTCTTCGCCCGGTCAAACACTGGATCGTGGGTTCCAATCACACTCGAAGCTTGGATGTTTGTCTGTCTTAATTCTGTGTTTGTGTTATCCTGTGTAGGCAACGACCTTGTGGCTGGCTGATCCCTCGCTCAAGGAGTCTTACCGACTGTCTATATGAATAAGAAACTGTAAAACACAGGCCAAGGTTCATCAAGGAGTGCAGCGCCCACAGATTATTATTGTACCGCAATTTCTTTAAGTTCATTCGGAAAAACTACGAACACAACCATATAGCAGCTAGAGTGGCCGATATTCGGACAAGACAGAATTCAAGTCTGCGTCTTTCGCGTTACTGTTTCAATTCTCAGACTTCGTACTGTTTCAGCAGAAGAAGGAACTGGTCGGCCGTGCCACCGCTTCACCGCAGGTCAAGCTGTTGGAGGAATCATACAGCCCACCTCGTCTCCAGCGGTACAGTTTGTTCAATGGCGACGAATTCACGGGGGAAATGTTAGCAGCATTCCACCTACTTGAGGTGCGCGTACTGAACAATTTATCCTTCCTTGTTGGCTTTTCTGTCTCTATTTATTTGTAACCACTGTGACCTACGAGGAAAGACATTTGTCTTTAAGTAGAAGCAGTAATAGTAGGTAAAGGTAAAGTTGTCCATGTGTTTAACTAATAAAGTACTGTGCCGTGTAGGCGTATTGGGGAGTGGATGTATAGATCCACATTATATTATTATTATTATTATTATTATTATTATTATTATTATTATTAGCAGCAGTGACCGCCTCTGTGGTCTAGTGGTTAGAGTTCCTGGCTACAGATCCAGAGGCCCGGGTTCGATTCCCGACGATACCAGATTTTCTGAGAAGTAGTGGGTCTGGAACAGGGTCCACTCAGCCTCGTGAGGATAATTGAGGAGCTATTTCAAGGAAATAGTGGTTCCGGTGTAGATAAACCGAGATTAACGGCCGTGGGGATTCGTTGCGCTGACCACGCGACACCCTCTATCCGCTAAAGTTGGCACTAACTTCGCCGACAAGCGGCAGCAGTACGTGTAGTAGTAGTAGTAGTAGCAGCAATAGCAGTATTGGTTGTTGTGCGTTTATAGGCTCCTCAGTTGCTGTAGGCATTCGTGCCTATCTGCCAGTTATACTACAGTTTTAAAGAAGCAGCCCCTCACCGGTGGAAAGTGAATTGATAAATGTTATTATAGACGAAAATTGTCAGTGGCTGGTATAAATGGTAGAACTTGGGTTGAAATATCAGGGTCTTCACTGAGTATTTAGTTGAAAGTACGGGGCACACGAACGCATTAAAATTCGACAATGCACCTAGGACAGTCTGTTGAACTTGGTCGGACAATTGACTTTCTAAGATTTGAGGCTTTCACGGCGGTGACTATGAAGAAAGCAGTCTTCTGGGATTTGGCACCGTGTATATGTGGTGTTAACCGACGTTTCGGAGGAACGTATCGCCCCCATCTTCAGGGTAGAAGAAAAAGTATAAGATTTCTTATACTTTTTCTTCTACCCTGAAGATGGGGGCGATACGTTCCTCCGAAACGTCGGTTAACACCACATATACACGGTGCCAAATCCCAGAAGACTGCTTTCTTCAATTGACTTTCTGTTTCTAAGTAAATCCAATATGTCCAAAACACGACAGTGTGCCAGACACTCAGTAGATGTCAGGTTGAATTTACGTAGCCACGCAGACACTGCACCTCATCCACGATGTGATACTAAGATATTGTAACGTAACTCAGCATTAGATGTTCTGCTTCCTTTCAGTTATCTGGAGACGCATCACAGATAGACATGCCAGAGCAGATGATGCAGGACCCTGTGACTAGAGTGCCGCCAGAAATTACACCCAAAATGATGGCATATAGGCAAGTGGCCAGAACTATAATCTTCATATTATTCGGTATTCTGTAATAAATGATTAGATTGTGCAAATTAACACATACTCCTACAAGCAAAAACTGGGTCACGTATCAGTTACCCAGTAAAGTGTAACGCCGAATACAAGAAATGAGCGTGGAATAAAAAATAATTTATGTCTTCAAATCTTATTAAAAAGAACAAGAAAGAACACGCTTAAAACAAGAAATCAAGTCAGCAGGTTAATTACTTCAGTGTACTTTTAGAAGCATATGCATTATTTCATTCATTTTTACCCTTGTTATTTCTCTAGCCGACACGCCGATTAGAAGACTAATTGTGTGGAAGAGCGGCTCTGGGATTTGCGCTGTCATTTTTCCGGATTTTCTTCTTTCCTGGGCACTACCTACTGGCCTATTTGTTTTCAGATCTTATTTTCATCTGGATGTGCCTGCACCCGTGTGATGGGAGGATACTTATGATTAATTATACAGAGTGATCCGAAAGCCCCGATCGATTTTACAGAACGACTTCGCCAAAATTAATGAATGTTAGATACGTTATGGGTGTCACTGTTGTGTAAAATATCAATACAGCTCCACTTTCCCCCCCCCCCTTCCATTTCAAGACATTGTTCCCAGTGGTCAACAGCAGCTCTTAAACCATCATGAAGCATGTTGGGTGTCAGTGCTTGTGCTAGTATGTAAATGCGTTGTTGTAGGTCATGAAGGTCAAGACACTTTATTCTGTACACCTTACACCTATTGAAGCCCCTGGCCCCGCCATAGCTCAAGCGGTTAGTCGCTGGCTTCCCACCGCGGCGGCCCGAGTTCGATCCCGGGTCTGATCAAGTGGGATTTGTGGTGGATAAAGTGGCGCTGGGGTAGGTTTTCTCCGAGTACTTCGGTTTCCCCTGCCAATCTTCATTCCACCAATTCCTCCACAGTCACCCTCACCTATCATCTGGGGCTGGTACAACAGGGCAGAAGTGGCCGCAGTACAAGGGACATAGACCAACCCCACTAGCAATAAAAAAAAAATGAAGCTCCAAGCAAAGACGGGGAGCGTGGCGCCCAATGTTTCGGTGCAGCTCTGTCTATCCATGTGTTCCGATTAGTGCTATTGAGGCAGCGGCGCACTTGAAGATAATACGCTCGTTTCTTAAGTTTAAAATAAAAAATCTCAAGCAATTGTCCTTAGTATGTCAAGTGGGCTTTGCTAAATTGCTTGCTGTATACGCCCTACGTCCTCTTCAGAAGTCTACGGCTTGCCTGAACGTTTCTTACCGAGCACACTTCCTCTTCGCTTGAACTTGTTAACTAGAAGCGGATACTGGCTTTAGTAGGTGCTGGTTTCCTGAATTTTCGTTCAAAACCTTGTTGCACATGTTGGTAGCTTAATCCACGCAATCACGCGGAAACAACTGCTACTCTCTCTTCAGTGTTGAGCATATTGCTTCATTAGGCAGAAACAAACAAAAAAGATTGATGAATTCACGAAAATGGATCGAGACTTTTGCATCACTCTGTATATTATGTTATATAGATTTATGAAATCTTTAATATTGCTGTAATGCTTTCAGAATTGAGGTACTCTTTTGGGGAATACGGGAAGTGAAGCACTGTCATTTGTTTTCCAAAATGAAGCCGCGAGTGGTTATGGAGTGCGGAGGAGTTGATCTGAAATCCACTGTGATACAAAACATGAAAGAGACTCCGAACTTTGAGAACCCTGTACTTCAAGTAGACACGGTTAGTACAGTAACACAGTCGCTCAATTGTGAAAATATGAAGCTCCTAGCCGGACACGAACGGAACATTGTACCGTTTTGTGATATACAGAATTTCCAATACGTATAAAATTCTATAAAAGTTACAAGGAACATAAAAGTAGATATATTACTGGTTACACTGCATAAAGTGTTTTCTCCTCTTATCTCGTTATATGGCATTCCATGCCATGAAGTGTTTTACAATAAAAGTTATAATGGACCTATATCTTGTTATGAACCGTACTGTTTGAATATGAACTTCATGTAAAATAGAAATTAGCCTATTGTGAAACGGTATTGACCAAAATGTAATTCGACTATCGATTCGTTTTCATAACGAATGATATTTTATCAAAATTCGTCTAGTGATTTGGGAGTTAAACCATATTAATTGATATATTATATTGCCTTTCCTGTATGCATTAATGAAGATCCTCAGCGACACGAAGCCAAAAAAAAAATTAAATTACTTATAAAATTACAAGTTACGGGAATTATTATTATTGATATTATTATTGTTCCTGTCCGGTAATAATCTGCATGCAGTATATGTACACCAGGAGCATCAGTCAGGCAGTTCTGCTTACTGTTAAATACCCTATGCACATTTAGCTCTGCTATTACTCCATTTCATTACTGTTCCATCATTTGACAGAACTGGTAATCATTATCAGAAGTACCTAGATGTTTCACGGCACGAAAAAGAACCTCATATCCCCAAAGGGGATCACTGAGCCAAATTCCAGGACGTTTCCCGCCCAACAATAGTCTCTAAGGCCTCTGATAGATGGGGGAAGCATTATAGATACCGCTAAGCAAGTGGCCGAACTCGCTTGCTCGGCGGGACTGATGGTACGCACCATTTATCGGTAGGATATAGAGACTGGTAGAATATCATAGAGGGAAGCACAATAGATCAAACTGGTCGCGGTGCATGGGGAAACCCACCCTCTCTAAATAACTAACTAACTAACTAGATGTTCCAAGTTATTTCAAGTGATATTAGCAATACTGAGGCACGCGGTAGCGCAGTTGGTTGAGAAACTATGTTACAAGCCGGAAGATCGCTGGTTCGATTCCCGATGTGGTCATTGGATTTTTCACTTGACCCAATCCTTCCAGCCGCACTTTAGCCCTGGTGTCGACGCAGCCTCTGACAGAAATGAGTACCACGAATCTTCCGGGCGGGGGAAAGGTAAAAGGCGACCCTATGAGCCTCCACGGTCTGTTACACAGATAGTTTTACCTTGTTAACTATACTACTTTTCTTCCAGATGATACCGGAGGAAAGAATGTACTGTCCATGCATTACGTTCACAGTTTACAATGACGCTTGTTTCCGTTCGTACTTCGGCACTCACGTCCAGCCAACCGTCGCTCGTTTCCTGGTGGAACCGGAAACCCAGGAGCAGTGGGCGGCCAAAATGCAAACCGTCATCTTACCACGGAGAAGGACAAATTGTAAGTAACGGTCAATAAAACGAAATAACTGCCATAATCTTTCTGTTCCAAAAGGACTGAATTATTTGAAGTCAGTTCCAATGTTCAGAAGTTAAACTGATTATTGGTTTATACAACCCCGCGTTTACAGTTGCGCAGATAACTTAGCGTCGGTTGGTGTTACTGGTGAATTATGAAGAGGAAGGGATGTAGCCCATGACGCCTGAACCTACGCCGACCTCGACGTTGCCTTGGACACTGTCCGTGTGACGTGTTACGAGGACTACAGGAACTTATCCAAAATTATGATCCACTTCGATTAACTAACTACCTACTCTAACCTCACGTAAAATTGAATTACAATGCCAACATAAACGAAAGAAAATCCCCGAAACTTTACTTGGACCTACGGAAACTGACACTATACAAAACAGCAGAACCCGTATTTAAACACTTTATACGTCGTATAAAGTACATTTGTCCCACGCTGTTCCGTCTTACAAGCCGCACTAATTATTTACATTTTTCTAAGTAGTTGGAATAGCTTTAATATTAGCACGTGACTTAAATTCATTCTGCCGAAAGCACCTCTTAAGTACACTGCATATTTTGCAATCAAGTTATGTTCTCTCTGTAACGCTAGCTTTCTGGTAACTGGGATATATCAGAGTGAAGAACTCCTACAACGACTAACAATATTATTTCGAAATTTATTCTGATTCGGACACGCTAGGTCTGTGATAGTACGAGATGAATAAAAGAAGTTTCTTAATTTCAGTCTGTAATAAGTTATATACTGAAGAGTTCTGTTGTCCGGGAAGTAACGCTGTGTATTCAGTCGAAAGTCAACCTTTTTTTCGGAATAAGAGAGCTCTTCATAACCACCGCTGTGAGAACCTCAAATCCCGCAAGTTATATACTGTAAAGTTAACTTGTTTTTAATGTAGACATATGCCTATTCTTTCTAAGATCCTCTCTTAAATAATTTATACAAATTAAGAATAGCCTCACGTTGTGGTACGTCTGGTTGCGCAGGTACCTATGTTGAAATGATTTGTGACGAAACCAGCACGTCAATGTACGACGAAGAGGACACACCATTATTGGCCCCCAGAAAGAAGAAGTGGCCTCTTGCTACGGTAAGTGAATAGAATTTCACCCAGCACAGCGCTGGAGAACGTAAATGCAAACATAAAACCAAACTAACAGCTTCCAGTTTGGTTGCAGAGCCAGTTGGCGTTGTATAAACGAAAAATTTATGCTCCTCTGGCCTATGAGGAACCATTCTCACAATTAAATTGTATTCAGAAAACGACTGGCCTAATATTCTTCCTTCATCAATGTTTGGAAGCAGATTTAAGCTTATACATACAGCTTTAGTGCCGATCACAGTGGCCGCGTGGTCTAAGGCTCGCTCGAAAGCTGGGATCGTGGGTTCGAATTCCATTCAGGGCATGGATGTCTGCGTGCTTTTATTTTGTGTCTGTGTTGTTCTGTGTGTAGGTAGCGGCCTTGAGACGGGATGATCGCCCGTCCAGGAGTCCTACCGACTGTGTACAGAATCAAGAAACTGAAAAAGCGGCCAAGGCCCAACAAAAGGCTACATAATAGTAGTAGCAATAGTAGTAGTAGTAGTAGTAGTAGTAATAGTAGTAATAATAATAATAGTAATAATAATAATAATAATACAGCGTTCGGAGTGTGAAGGTAAAATTCCTTCTGCAGAATACTTCTGTTTTTGGTGTTATAGAAACAAACTGATCGGTATACCTGAAAATCGGTGCGAATAGCAAGCCTTAGAAACCAGACTATATCGATACACAGTTAAATTGTCTCTCGGTCAGTCGCTCGACTTTATAATGTCAGGAAAGGGACTAGGGCTCGCCAAAGTAGATTCATGGTGTTTTGTATAGCAACAGATGTCTGAGCTCCTCGTTGGATAAAGTTTTCGGTAGCATTGAAAATTACAGTATTGCGACGGTGTGAAACATTTTTCTTCAACTAATGTACATAGCGTAAAATGCAAATTTTGGGTAACTCTACACGTTACGAACAGAATGACTGTTTTTTTTTACTTCTTCCATTATCCTGTATTCAAAAAAACCCCAGAGAACACAACGTTTCGGAAACCAGATCAGTTTCCGTCCTCAGGTGCGGGGAGACACTTACTGTGCTGGGTCCCGTAGAAAGAAAGGTTTCTCCCCCTCACCTGAAGTCGGAAGCAGATCCAGTCATCGTCAAAACCCTATAGAATCTACTTGTAACTAATGCTGCAAAAATGTTTGTCTCAGTGCACGGCTTTGTGGTAACTGTAACATTATAAAACCCCTCACATTGAGTTGGGTTTGAATTACGGCTTTCTGTCCACTGTTTGCCTTTGGAAAATACAGGAATTTAATTACACGGCGCTGTTGTGCCGTCAGACGCAAGTCGGTAATTTCCCCGGACTAGTCTTGGCCATCCCACTTTCCAAGCACGTTCCATACGTCATAAATTGAAGACTACATAAAGGTAAAAAGGTAAAGTTATCCCTGTAAGAGGCCATGGAGGCCCGTAGGATTGTCAGACGTTGAGGTTCCCACATTTTCTAGACAATCGGCTCACAGATGGCGGTAAGGTTGTCAGCCTTACGCGCCGGCTGTCCTTTACCCCCCAGGAAGATTGCTGGTACTCATTTCTGTTGGAAGCTGAGACGACCCCAGGGCCATAGTGCGGCTGAAAGGATTAAGTACAATGAAAAAAAAAACTTCATCGGGACTCGAACCCGGGACCTTCAGGTTTGTTTAGAAAAAATCCAGATTTAATTTTAGAAAAATTACAAATCACTTTGTTTTTAACTTACAAAGGCTAATCCTTCTATATGAGACAAACTCCGTCTTAAGTGCAACAATTTAATTGTAGTTCTTCCTTCTTTCCTTCCTCCACACTACATGTTTCGGCCCTAAATGGCCATCATCAGGTGTATATTCTTACGTAGCTGCTACACTGCCCGTAGTTTAAAATTTAAAAAACCAGTCTTTTCAGTTGTATGTATGTATAAAATCTTTGTTAACCTACACACGTCAATTTGATTTCCAAAATTTGCACTTTTTAAAAATTCAATTTCAAATTAAAATGTCTTTAAATTTTCCCTTCTTTTCCAAATTTTAAAAATTAAAATTTCTCGGGGTACTCGCCCTATTTCTATAGTGTGCTCACACACACGTATTAAAGATAGACAGCGGCACACGCACAGAGAGTCTACACAGAACAATGCCTGAACAGCGATAAAACAAGAAGTGGCCGCTGCAGCACTATAGACATACGGCGAGTACCCCGAGAAATTTTAATTTTTAAAATTTGGAAAAGAAGGGAAAATTGAAAGACATTTTAATTTGAAATTGAAGTTTTAAAAAGTGCCAATTTTGGAAATCAAATTGACGTGTGTAGGTTAACAAAGATTTTATACATACATACAATTGAAAAGACTGGGGTTTTAAATTTTAAACTACGGGCAGTGTAGCAGCTACGTAAGAATATACACCTGACGATGGCCATTTAGGGCCGAAACATGTAGTGTGGAGGAAGGAAAGAAGGAAGAACTACAATTAAATTGTTGCATTTAAGACGGAGTTTGTCTCATATATTGTGTGAGTGTAACAGGATGCTTAAATATAATATTGCTAATCCTTCGGTAACCTAATAAGTGCCATGCCAACATTACTTGACGTTGGTACTTCTTACAGGTTTCTGCATTCCTTACATTTCGAAGAAACCCCGAGAAGGAAGAGTCAAACAATGAGACGGCTACAGCAGTAAGAACAAAGAGTGTTACCGACAATGAAGAAATTGACTGGTGGACAAAATACTATTCTTCTAAGCAGGTAATTTTATTTATTGATATAATAAAATATCCCCACGCTTTCTGAATAGACAAGACGATGGATTATGTCCAAAAACATAATACTTGTAGCAATATATGAGTACCATCGTCACACACTTTTAGATCTAACATCTAGTTAGTGCTCGCAAGAGTCGACGAGCTGAACAGTTCCAGAAATTTATGTCAGCTGTTACTGTGAGAGCAGTAGACGTAGTCCTCGCGCCCTTTCGCTATTTAAATGACAACTGAAAACCACTGACGAATAATAAAGCTTAGTTCAGAGCTGCGCCGAACAGACAGATGTTACTGAGGTAAAACATTCTTTTGACTCTTGTTAGACCGCCTCTGTGGTCTAGTGGTCAGAGTTCCTGTACAGAGCCATAGGTCCCGGGTTCAATTCCCGACGCTAACAGACTTTCAGAGAAGTAGTGGGTCTGGAACGGGGTCCACTCAGCCTCATGAGGATAACTGAGGAGCTACTTCAAGGAAATGGCGGCTCCGGTCTATAAAACCGAGATTAACAGCCGTGGGGATCCGATCGCTGACCACATGACATCCTCTTTCCGCAAAAGTTGGCACTAACTTCGCCGACAAGCGGCGGTCGCTCGGTTGGTATAGTTCTCTTACGGACTACGGGCCACGGAGTTTGTTTTGTTTTGTTTGTTCGTAACTTTTGTTAAATACGGTATACACCGCATCGGATATTATTTAAAAAGTTGTAGGCTGTAACATTATTTATATACTATATCTAGCAGATTTTTGCTCTGCAAAGTTTTTTTAGAGGAAATTTATGAAATTCGGATTGAGCTTCACGCAAGCGAGGATTATTATTGGAATGACAACCGGCTAACTAACTCTAATAAATACAGTCCTTCGTGAGATAATGATGGTTTTCGGATGACTAAGAATATGTTTATAAAACCCCAAGATTCATCACCTTGTTCACAACAGCCAGCCGCTGGAACCTATCGTGAGCTAAGTGAATCCACTCACTCTCGTACCGATACTAACAACAATTACGATAAGGCGTATTCCGAATAGTTTTTGTCCCAGTCCTCAAATATACTAACTTCTAAAGAAACTGACTGAGTAGTTTCGAAGATGGAACACCGAAGTCGACAGGCAGACACGTCTCTCCAATATTCGTTCATGTTATCCACTTCGCGAAGAGATAACATAATACATATGTCGTAACAACACTCACTAGTTGTTCCGCAACTCTAAACAAATCTCTTAATTTTCAGAGCTTCAGATATAAACATTACTATTACCATATGCAGTACTAACAATACCTTCTAGAATATAAGCAACACAATACATATAAGATCTAAAAGTTTGTGATGATGGTAAATTGTTACAATTAATATGTTGCTGGACATTATCCATCATCTTGTCTGTTCTTAAAAAAGCCGTTTAGTTTCTATTAAAAACACAACGTTTCGGGAACTGGAATCTGTCCCCGTCTTCAGGTAAAACCTACTCAGTTGGGTCCAATAGACAGAGCTAGCCTCTATCTCCGGACCTAAAAAACCGTCTAGTTTCTATTAAAAACACAACGTTTCGGGAACTGGAATCTGTCCCCGTCTTCAGGTAAAACCTACTCAGTTGGGTCCAACAGACAGAGTCCGGACCTATCTCCGGAGATAGAGGCTAGCTCTGTCTATTGGACCCAACTGAGTAGGTTTTACATGAAGACGGGGACAGATTCCAGTTCCCGAAACGTTGTGTTTTTAATAGAAACTAGACGGTTTTTTTAAGAACAGACAAGATGATGGATAATGTCCAGCAACATATTAATTGTAACACAATACATCTTCTGATGATGAGTTACAATATTATTAACTGATCAGAAGAAGTTTATATGCATTGATAACAAACAGTGAACAACCCACAATTGTGACAAACTACTCTGAAACTGTACGAACACAATGTTTGAGAGCCAAGATGTAAGAAGTGATTGTGTTACCAGGGAATGGCCGACGCTTCTGTATACCAGAAATCAGAAGTCGAAGATGACGAAGAAGCTGACGTAACATTACTCGGAGATGAAAGCAGAAGCAAGAGATATTTGAAACGCAGGAAGCCTAAAATTAGGGTAGGCCTAGACTTTCAGACGTATATTTGCCTAACTTAATTCATAGAAAGTTAAAGAACACCAGATGTACAAGTCCCTGGGCCATGAAACATCAAAAAGGAAAGTGTAACAGGCTCCACCAGCAGGTAGTACTTGACAGAAATTTTACATTTTTTCAGTTTAAATTGATTCATGTGCAAAACAACGTTCTGGAGGGTACCGTGTACGTAATCCCCACCCGCACCTGTCCCTATCCCAAGCCAAATGAATCCAATCCAATTTCCATAAAATACCTGCTGTCCTCACATCCAGGCAGTATTCGTCGAAGTTTTCAGATTAATATTATATACGCTTTTCCCTCTCTCTCTCTCATGTATTCTATATTGATTTAATCACCTTATTAACATTGGTGAATAAGAATTATGCGCTTTTCTCCAGCTTCCTCTCTCTTCGGTCCAGATATTCTTCTCAGCAAACCAGACATCATCAACAGTCTGTTTAAAGTAGTTATGTATGTAATCTTGTAACAAAACAAAGCCTATAAATTCACCTTGCAGTCGTGGTAATCATAGTTTACTGGCAATTACATCAGGTAGTAAACACAGTTATCACAGTCCTAACCAAGTTAATGGTAATTGCTTTACTGATTCAGAGTTAATGAGTGATTTAATCCCAGAAAGTTGCATGACCGCTATACATATAACATCCCGAGTAATGCTATCATCGGACCGGCCTGTTGGCTTGCATCAGCGCATTTCGATGGTGTTTTATATTAATGACTTTCATTAATTAACTTTAGTGCGGTACCTACTTAATTACTGTTACCGTGTAAAATCTGAACAGTGATACCAACTCTTGAGATTCGTGTAATGTAACATGAGGCCAGGCCGCGCCAGAGCTCAAGCGGTTAGTCGCCGGCTTCCCACCGCGGCGGTCCGGGTTCGATCCCAGGTCTGGTCAAGTGGGATTTGTGGTGGACAAAGTGGCGCTGGGGCAGGTTTTCTCCGAGTACTTCGGTTTCCCCTGCCAATCTTCATTCCAACAATTGCTCCACAATCACCCTCACCTATCATCTGGGGCTGGTACAATAGGCCAGAATTGGCTGCAGTACAAGGGACTTAGTCCCACCCCACTAGCAATAATAATAATAATAATAATAATAATAATAATAATAATAATAATAAATAACACGCAGGCCTACTTCATGAAATGCTCAAATTCTTACCAGATAATTTAACCCTTTGACAGCCTCTGTGATCTAGTGGTCAGAATTCCTGGCTACAGATCCAGAGGTCCGGGTTTTATTCCCGACGCTACCAGCTTTTATGAGAAGTAGTGGGTCTGGAACGGGGTCCACTCAGCCTCGCGAGGATAATTGAAGAGCTATTTCAAGGAAATAGTGGCTCCGGTCTAGAAAACCGAGATTGACGGCCTTGGGGATCCGTTGCGCTGACCACGCGACACCCTCCGTCCGAGTTTTGGAGTAATTAATCCTTGTAATACTCAGATTTTGGGATAAATCGTGTTATTGAATTTTCATAATGACTTACACTTTATTTTCGCGAAATTCGTATCTCAAACAGATAATAAAAAATGTTTTCACCAGTCACATCACAAATAAAACATAAGAAGGGGACAGCGGCGTGATTTAGTGACAAATATTTTTCGTTGAGCCCATTTTAGCTGTGTTAAAAATACTAAAACTCGTATAACCTAATACGTCCGTCGATCCGCATGTAACGCATTTAAAATTACGTGATTGATTTTGGCATTGTAAATCTACACTAAATTCGGCCGGGCTATTTTGATTTTAGTTTGGTTCCGAACCATTTAATACCCTCCATGTCTTCAAGGTCTAATTTATCTTTTACTTCTACTATTCGAGGGCGCAGAAGCGAGTGGAAGTAATAGGAGACTGGAGAAACCTGCCCAATGAGAAGCTGCATAGTTTTTGCTCTTTACCAGATATTAATAGGTTGATCAAATCAAGGGGAATGCAACGGAGGGGCGGGCGGGCTGGGGCAGTATCACGTATGAACAACAACAAAAACTCCGTGGCCTGTAGTCCGCAAGCGAACTATACCGACCTGGCGACCGCCGCTTGTCGGCGAAGTTATGCGAACTTTAGCGGATAGAGTGTCGCGTGGTCAGCGCAACGGATCCCCACAGCCGTTAATCTCGGTTTTCTCGACCGGAGCCGCTATTTCCTTGAAATAGCTCCTCAGTTATCCTCACGAGGCTGAGTTGACCCCGTTCCGGACCCACTGCTTCTCAGATGTCGCGTATGAAATAGACGAAAAACGATACAGAACATTAGTCGGAAGACCTGGAGGAAGCAGACAACTTTGGAGGCTTAGACTTACTTACTTACTTACTTACTTACTCATGGAGCTGAGCCCTTCTGGAGGAGCTGCCAATTCTGCAGCTACTCAAGAATTTCCCAGCATTTTATGGAACCCGAAGGTTCATTACCGTGTTCACAAGAGCCCTCCACTGGTCCCTATCCTGAGCCAGACCAATCCAATCCATAACATCCCATCCTATCTCTCTAAGATCCATTTTAATATTGTCCACCCACCTACGCCTTGGTCTTCCCAGTGGTCTCTTCCCTTCTGCCTTTCCCAACAATAGCCTATATGCATTCCTTTTCTTTCCAATTCGTGCTACATGCCCTGCTCACCTCAATCCTCCTTGACTTGATCATTATAATTATACTTGGAGAAGAGTTTTGGAAGGAAGCTGCTAATATATTGAACAAGCAGTCGCAGACAGCCGACAAGGGGTAGTCCTCCAGCTTGGGGGTTGGGCGTTGAAAACTGAATGTACACTACTTTTGAACCTTTCGATAAATTTTATGTTAATTTATATGTGGAACTTGTATAGTAAGTAACACAGGCCAAGTAATTAATGAGGGCCAGTATATCTGCAGGCTTATAAAACGTTTGATATATTTCGATAAAACTAAATGTCATTCTCATTAATCAATCTGTGAGCTACTTACACAAGGATCAATAGTGTTCTTACATGTCTTCTGAGCCCTTTGCCAGATCCCTATGAAAATCGTAGACCAATAGACAATTGTTTAATGATTTTTTCAATGGCTTTCCCAGCCCATTCAGGGCCCTGGCCTCTTATTCAGTTCCGTAATGTAAGATTTGAGGCTTTCACGGCGGTGACTATGAAGAAAGCAGTCTTCTGGGATTTGGCACCGTGTATATGTGGTGTTAACCGACGTTTCGGAGGAACGTATCGCCTCCATCTTCAGGGTAGAAGAAAAAATATAAGAAATCTGCAAGCGAAGAGACCGTGAGAACCGGTAAAAACTGCTTTTACCGGTTCTCACGGTCTCTTCGCTTGCGGATTTCTTATATTTTTTCTTCTACCCTGAAGATGGAGGCGATACGTTCCTCCGAAACGTCGGTTAACACCACATATACACGGTGCCAAATCCCAGAAGACTGCTTTCTTCAGTTCCGTAATCTTTTCTCTTTTTTTTCACAGACGGTAGCACTCCTTGGATGAGTCATCAGCTCGTCGCAAGGTCTCTACCTAAACAAAGGACAACAGAAACACAGAATAAACGCATACACACACCAAACATTCGTACCTGAGACCGCGCGGCTGTTTAATGAATATTACTGGATATAATGTTAATGAACTTCAACATATTTCAGGACTATTTTTATTTTATATGAGGATTAAATTAAATTTGTGTGTGGGTATATAACACATGTCGATACTTCGATTTCTGATAGTATTTGTACACGGTAAGACATTGTAAGGTTTAGTAAATATGAGAAACCTTCCTATTCCCTGACAATGCTGCTAACATTATTTGCATTATTAGTTTACGTCACTCTGATTTCTACTTTGTAATATATTTTTCGTTTTTCTGATTACTCGTGTAGATTTATCCAAATGAACTGGAAGCACAACCCGATTTCAACGGTTTCAACGACACGCTGCAAACCTTCGATATTTTTAAAGGAAAGAGGACTGGAGACGAACTTCTTGATAGAGAAAACATCGTTGCACAGTTAAAAGTAGGTGTCACGGATTTTTTTTTCTTATGCCTGAGAGATTTTTATGTTGATGTGGCCACGTATGTCTTATTAGTACAGGGCAGAAAAAATGGGATGAGTATAATCGACTCTCACACACTCGTAGTTAGTCTCAGATGTAACGTGCTCCCCATTCGATTAAACTATTTTGTTATTGCTAGTGCGGTTGGACTATGTCCATTGTACTGCGGCCACTTCTGGCCTAGTGTACCAGCCCAAGATGATAGGTGAGGGTGATTGTGGAGCAATTGGTGGAATGATGATTGGCAGGGGAGACCGAAGTACTCGGAGAAAACCTGCCCCAGCGCCACTTTGTCCACCACAAATCCCACTTGACCAAACCCGGGATCGCCGCGGTGGGAAGCCAGCGACTAACCGCTTGAGCTATGGCGATTAAACCATAAGCACTCATGTATTCCTAACAGAGTGCAGCTGTCTTCATACTAGTGACTTGAGGGCGGGGGGACACGGGGCTCAGACGCGGCAAGGTCCGGACCTCAGGGGACCATTATCTTCTTTCAGGCAGCCCAAGTATAAGTGTATCTATTTATAATTTTTTAAAGTATTTTCTGGGTTGTAACGCTTTGTAGTTCTTAGAAGGTTGAAGTAAGGTACTGCTTCCATCTTCAAGGTCGAAAATGGAACCGAACAAAGAACTAGCAAGAATCAGACGTCTAAGGGATTACACAGCATTCCTTCCCGGAAGATTTCCGCCCTCATTTCATAGTTAACGCTCTGAGAACCTAAAATTCAGCATGTACTGCCTGGGTGACAGGGGTGGGAAAACACGTTACACATTCGCTCTGTCAGCCAACTCTCTTTGGCTAATCCCACCTTCCTGTCCCCATATGTCATGTTGCGGCGACAGGCGGGGTTCTATATCCCACTTCTGCCGCCATATGTAATGCTTCGATGGCAGGGGTGGGTAAAAACAACTACTAATTCACTTCGTCAGCCGGCTCCGTTGGCTAAATTCCACCTCCACTGCCACCCATTTGTTATGCTTGAAGGGGGGGGTTAATGGAATACTGCTAAATTCATGACTGCCACTATCACTGTACCACCTATGTCACCAATTGTACTACCGTGGCGACGGGGGTGGTTAAACAAAATGATGCTAAATTACTCAGTCGCCATCCTTTTGTTGGCTGGCCCCTCTGTCACTGGCACACTTTTTAATGGCGTAAAGCGAGTCCTGCCCCGTCTTTACCCACTACCTGGCACGCCCCCCAAGACTGGCGTGTTATTTTGATTACTCTCAACTAGGATTCTCCTGGCTCTGAACCTTCTTCGTTGCATACAGCTGCCGTTGACTGCCTGGGGTCAGTTCTGCCTTCGTCGGGACTGGGATAGCTCTGGGTCGGTCGGGGGAAGGGTTGAATCAAAAATCTCTGTTTACATCCTACCCTAACTACCTCGGTCTATTTACACTCTTATGTACAATAATATTTACAGTAATAACAATGCCGACTTTCAGTCGGGACTACATAGTGTCTTTACTTTACCAGGCTATGACTTCATTGTGATCTCCCCTTCTAGGGTGTCTGACTCAGGTCTGTCTCTCTCTCTTCTCCTAGTCATTTCACAGTTTTACCCTATCCTATCCTAACGCTTCACCTTTAAATGTTATGCTCCTAAAACTATAGATTCTACAAGCTTAAGTATGTTTATCACAAAATCAATGGTCACAACAATAACCAATACATCAGCAATCACAATACGTAATACAACGACCATATTTACCATACTGGCTACCTCGGCCATTACTCGTTACACTAACTCTCCTATCCCCTTTGGCGTAGTATCTACCCTAGCCCACACTCGCTGGGCACACTGGAAATTGCTTTCAACATTTCACAACAACAACAACAACAACAACAACAACAACAACAACAACAATTTTGAACAACGTGGCTAGTATGAGCAAACGTGACTTACTTGAGATAGAGACGCAGCGACGCCATCACTTGTAGAACCCATGTCGAGCAGAGCCTTCGGCTGCTCGTCGACTATTACGTTTTTCTAAGCGCTCCCCTCAACGTCTCTTTTTCTCTCTTTATACTATAAAACTGCTAACGCAGCTACTTCCCCAAAGTAAGCTACCTCCTCCCTTTTTTCCTTCAAATTGCAAGTGGTGGGTTCCCATTGGCTAAACTCGACTCCTCCCGGGTACTCGGCGGCACCTCCCCCTGTGCATTTTGTAATTTCATACTACTCCAGTGTTCCCTGTAAGGCGAGCTTGCAGTGGTGCGATTATGCATCTTTGCTGACTAAGTACATTGTTAACCTGGTTACACAGTCTATGTGTTGCCATCATTGCTCTAATTGCTGTAAGACGCTTTTGCAAGTCTTGTAACATTTGGGCAATGCCTTAAATCTCCAATCTCGAAATTTGCGGCATAACACAGCATTAATAATTTTGTCAATATTTCGTCTTCATCAGAGTCAGGATAGCACAGTGGTATAGCGACTGGCCACGGACTGGACGATCAAGGGGTCAGAGTTCGAGTCCGGTGGGGGCAAGAATTTTCACTTCTCTATGTCGTCCAGACCAGCTCTGGAGCCCACCGAGCCTTCTATTCAATGGGTACCGGGAGTTCTTTCCTCGGGGGTAAAGCGGCAGGGGCGTAAAGCTGAACGTTCACCTCCAACTAGTGCCGAGGTCAAGGAAATGTGGTTCTATATGGCTGGAAAGCGAACTGAGATCTGTGAATTAGTTTAGGACTATTACCAACAATATAATCAACTTTGTTATAATATTAACCTAAATTGAATGCGGTTAGTCGCTGGCTTCCCACCGCGGCGGCCCGGGTTCGATCCCGGGTCTGGTCAAGTGTGATTTGTGGTGGACAAAGTGGCGCTGGGGCAGGTTTTCTCCGAGTACTTCGGTTTCCCCTGCCAATCTTCATTCCACCAATTGCTCCACAATCACCCTCACCTATCATCTGGGGCTGGTACAATAGGCCAGAAGTGGCCACAGTACAAGTGACTTAGTCCCACCCCACTAGCAAATAAAAGAAAAACACCTAAATTGAATTGTCGCGACGGTAAGACGCAATAAAAATTTACAAAATGGCAATTCTCCCTATGTGTATTTCAAAGAATCTGCCTCTTTTCAGGGAACAGCAAAAGTGTACCGATGGCCTCCTCCCCAAGGAACTGTGTTCGTGACCGAGAATGGCTTGAATGTGGCACAAGGAGGATTGCTACAAGATATGCCGTCGAATGCTCCTGTAAAACTTTCAGTTCGGGTGTACGTGGTTCGGGCTTTTGGACTCTGCTCGCGAGATCTTAATGGGAAATCAGACCCATACCTCATGATCAAGCTCGGCTCTCGTAGCATCAGCGACAAGGTCAATTACTTCCCGCGACAACTGGATCCTACATTCGGCAGGTAAAATTATAATTAAAATTAGGCTTATTAATCTTTATGTCATCTTAAAACAACTTCTGTATGACAGATCTGTTGTTCTAACGATGTTTAGACCTGTATTCGGGTCTAGAAAACCGAAATTAACGGACGTGGGGATTCGTTGCGCTGACCACGCGACACCCTCTATCCGCTAAAGTTGGCATTAGCTTCGCCGACAAGCGGTGGTCGCTCGGTCGGTATAGTTCGCTTGCGGACTCAAGCCAAGGAGTTTTGTTTTTTTTTAGTTTTATTCGGAAACGGCTCGGTTCTAATTTCGGTCGGGACACCTACTGTCCCGGCTGAAGTCTTTGTGCTTTATCTAATTTCTTCCAGGCAAATGGCGGGACAGTACCCAGATCAGGCCGTTGTCGTTTTTTTCTACATCCACTGAAATTCATCATTAGTCAATCGTTCTCAGTATCCAACGGTATATAGCCTAGATAATGAAGGCGTCGTACAACAAACCACAAGAAACTGCGGAATCGAAGTATCAGGATTGCACGACCGAAATTCGATTTTTGGAAGAGGAGAGGAATATTACTTTTTGCCCCCCACGCGGCAAGTCTGTAAAGTAAAGTAAAGTAAAGTAAAGATAACTTTATTTTCTTACCACAAGCAGTTGCTCTGAAGTTGGTACAGTGAATACTACGAGCTGAACTACCGGGTTTTCATTCCTGGAAAAGTCAGAAATTTTCTCTTCGCCGTCGCGCGTCCTGATAGGCTTTGATGAAGAAGGTTAACTGAAGAATGCCGTCTTCAGGTATGTGACGTCGTGTAGATCTTGAGTGGACCGACATTTTGGAGGAACGTATCGCCTCCATCTGCAGGGTAGAAAAATCCGCGAGCGAGGATCCAGCGTCAGCAGGTAGCTGCAGAGGAACGTATGTGCAGCCACCAGTCAGAATAAAGATAATCTGAAGGGGAAGACAGAAGTTCCTGCGATGTGTTCGTAGAACTTCATCCTTGTAATCGGTTCTCAACCGCAACACCATGAACTATTAATGGTGTACTCTACATCCGGCAGCAAAAGGCTATTCTTAAGTCACACATGGCTGATCACAGTAGCCGCGCGGTCTAAGACATGAACTGTCTTCACTCGCTCGAACGCTGGGATTGTGGGTTTGAATCCCACTCAAAGCAAGGATGTCTGTGTGCGTTTATTCTGTGTTCGTGTTGTTCTGTGTGTAGGTAGAGGCCTTGCTTGCGACGGGCTGATCCCCCGTCCAAGGAGTTCTACCGACCGTATACAAGATCAATAAACTTAAAAAGTGGCCAAGGCCCAACAAAGGGATGTACAGCCATAATAATAATTAGTCACATATATATCTGATAATTCTCCGTATATCGTTGTTATTGTGGCTGTTACCACATATAGTCTTTTTTTTTCCTCTTGTCACTACAGCCCCAGTGGGCCTAGGCCTCCATGAACTTTTCCGTTCACTTCGGTTTTTCTAGATCTTAGACATTCGGTAGGACTCCTTGAGCGGGTTATCATCTTGTCGCAAGGGCTTTACCTGTACACAAACACAGAAAAACGCACACACACAAACTAAACATCCATGCCCTGAGTGGGATTCGAACCCACGATCCCGGTTTCCAAGCGAGCGAAGACAGTACATACCTTAGACCGCTCGGCTACCGTGACCGGCGATATAGTCTTATTAGGGTGGATAAATTAAAGAGACTTAAATCATAAAGCATGTAGAATGAATGGAAATCATTTGCATAACAACGTTTTGTTGTACAAATATTATGTTTCTGGACATCATCCATCGCCCTGTTTTTATCTAAAACACCGTCTTGTTTATTTTTCAAAACACAACGTTTCGGAGACTGGACTGTGTCTCAGTTAGGCCCAATCGATAGAGCTAGTCCCTATCTCCGGAGAGGTTTAGCGTTTAAATTGAGATGCACCTTTGCTTTTCTCACAGATGCTTCGAACTGGAGGCGATACTGCCAAGAGACAACACGTTGACAGTGTGCGTTATGGATTTCGACATTGCTGGACTTGATGATATCGTAGGTGAAACCAGCATTAATCTGGAAAATAGATACTACAGCAGACATAGGGCCACGTGTGGACTGGCCTCCAGCTACGAAGTGTAAGTGAACTCTGTGACCTCTTTTGTTATGAAGAAAAATTTAGAGTAGGGTTACTCATTCTTACGAGTAATAAGCCTATGACTTTGGTATTTTGAATATGAGGTGAAAAATTTTTCCAGTTAATTTTTATTTACCTCGATATGTATCCAGTGTTTGTAGGGATTGTCCAGTGAAGATTAAACTTACAGAAATATTTTCTCATAAGCCGCATTGATGGCATATCTCCTAATGATTTATTTAGTAATTTAAGTCTTCGTGTGTTAAGTTATAAACCTGCATTTGGTCCACTACAAATTTCATTTAAACTAAAATTTTGGTTAATGAACACTTCATAGAGTAAACATTTCCAAAAACTGGCTATGTTAACCATAATTTTAAGAGATGGTGGAGAAATCTTACAGCCTTAACCTTAAATGGAAACAAAGCCTTATGGACTTACACTGCGTCCTATACGACCACATTAAACTAAGTGATAGTTTGATAATGTGAAGGGTGAAATACACATCTGTTGCACACGCTCTTAATACTATCCACCGTGGTTTTCTCTCAAGAAATCGCTACTCTCAGACGGCGATTCTAATGACTTCTGTAATACCTTTCTACTAATTTTCTTTCAAGTTCTACGGGAGATTGATGTTGTTTAAACTCATAAGGATTATTTTTAAGATAATCTGCTTTGACGACTTAACCGAAAACTAATTAATGTAGTACTGATATCCCTTCAGTCTGTGAAACCATGGACTTCATGGATTGTGAGGCATATATTTTTTGTATTGCTAGTGGGGTGGGACTAAGTCCCTTGTACTGCGGCCACTTCTGGCCTATTGTACCAGCCCCAGACGATAGGTGAGGGTGATTGTGGAGCAATTGGTGGAATGAAGATTGACAGGGGAAACCGAAGTACTCGGAGAAAACCTGCCCCAGCGCCACTTTGTCCACCACAAATCCCACTTGACCAGACCCGGGATCGAACCCGGGCCGCCGCAGTGGGAAGCCAGCGGCTATGGCGAGGCCCTTGAGGCATGTAACAGTCAACCTGTTCATGTTTGTTTAAAGTGGTTAATATCACTTGCTTTTTCCTGGGAGATCCGCCATGCTGAAGTCATGCATGTTTCTAATATCGCCCACTATGGCGTTCCTAATTACGCCCAACAGGTGATTTTTGGTACCTACGCACCTTTTGCTCTTTTGTTATAGAAACAACTGTGTAGAAACGTGGGAAAAGAATTGGACGAAACGAGCAGTGAATGCTTTATATAAGGGCATTATTCTGCTTCAAGCTTCAAGGGAATTTAGTGCACCAGGCTCTGTACTGAAGGGGTATATTAATTGGAGAGGTCCCGAGGTTAAAAACTGAAATAAAATATATGTATTTATCCGTGATGGTTATTTGTGTGTATTTAACTTGGAAGTATATGAATGATTATTTGGTCCGATGTTTTCTACGAATATAGTTGTACAAGCGGGAGATATCTGGAAGACGTTTTAAAATACGAAAAAAAAAAAATCGTTTTATAGAATCAAAATTTTTAATTCAAAATGTCGAAGCTTAAAAATTTTAATAATGGAGTATTTTAGATAGGTCGTAACTCTGTGAATTATAATTTTTGCTTTTTCGTATGATAAAACCTAGCTTTTACGTTTGGGCTCTAAATTTAAGTGGATGACATCTGAGCCCTTCTGCATACAGTTTCTAATTATTACTAGTGTAATACAGAAGCAAATATTTTACCCAGTATTGTTACATTTTTCACCAAAATTAATTGGTATAATATAGTATTAAGACATTGATTTATTCAGTATTTTTTTATGCTTAGAATATTGCATCTCTGTTCATATTTTAGGGCTGGATACAACAGATGGAGAGATGTTTCAAAACCATCACATATATTGCAAAATTTGTGCAGGAAGTGTAACATTAGTGGTCCAAAATATATCGGGGGCCACATTGTTTTGGGGGACTGTGATGAAGTTAAACTGCAAGAACTGCGTGAAAATTCGAGTAAGTATTAATTTATTAATTAGGGAAAAAATGTGATATTCATAACCGCTGAAAGCATATCAACAGGGCAAGTTTCGATGATTTTTTTATTGCTAGTGGGGTGGGACTAAGTCCCTTGTACTGCGGCCACTTCTGGCCTATTTTACCAGCCCCAGATGATAGGTGAGGGTGATTATGGAGCAATTGGTGGAATGAAGATTGGCAGGGGAAACCGAAGTACTCAGAGAAAACCTGCCCCAGCGCCACTTTGTCCACCACAAATCCCACTTGACCAGACCCGGGATCGAACCCGGGTCGCCGCGATGGGAAGCCAGCGACTAACCGCTTGAGCTATGGCGCGGCCCAAAGTTTCGATGAAATTACAATTATACTTCACAAATACTAGACTGCAGCTAAGACTCAGGCTGCTAGAGGGTCGATGAACTTGAGCTGCAAGAAGCTCTATAGTGGCAATGCGACATATTTTGCTCCTACTGACTTTATAATTAGCGGGGACTATCATGAAAATCTTCAGGATATTATGTTCATAGGTAGTTGCGAGTTTGTTTTTGAGATGCCTGCCTTCAGTTAGAACATGGCGGCCATACATAATTTTGAGGCATAATCACCAATTATACAAGCAGGGTATATGCGGCCAAGAAGTTATACAAAGTTTTCTCCGCTAAAGACTACTGTAATATATCCGAAAAAGTATCAGATTGCTAGTTCCAGTTTTGATTTTCCTCCACTGAAGCAAGGAATTTGATATATATACGAAATGTCAGGTTCTCACAATAGTGGCGAAGCCTGATTTACATGGAATCGTAAATGGATCTTTTCATGAAAAACACGGATCGTTTAGCAGATGTGGTTGAAATTCGATACGAAAGCTTTCCATCAAAAGATGTCCCCGGTAAGTTCGAGACAGTGGTTGCAGCTGCATTGTGCTAGTGAGCAAGGAGGGTGAGGTAATGTAAAGAATGCCCTGTTGTAGTCCATGTACACCCTACAATTCTTATCTCATTTTTGAACGAAATGAAAAACTATAATTTTTGGGGTTTACTCAGCCTCTAACAGAAATGAGTACCAGGAATTAATTAAATAATTTTCCTGAGGAGTAAAGCGCGGCCGGTGCGTAAGGCTGACAACCTTACCGCCATCTTTGAGCCGATTACCTAGGCAATGTCGGACCCTCAACGTCTCACAACCCTATGGTCCTTCACAGCCTGGTACAGGAATAGCTTTACTTTTTTTATATGATTGTGCAACGCGGTCTCTTACATGAAAGAATGAGTGATGATTTTGAAGACAGGGTGCTGAGAAGGATGACCGAACCCAAGAGAAATTATACACATATAGCAGTAGGCTGGAGAAGATTGCGTCATAAGAAGCTTCATAAGTGTGCTCCTCAATAAACACTATTATAATAATCAGATCAAGCAGAGTTAGATGGGCAGTGCATACAGCACGCATGGGCGTGAAAATGAGTGCGCAAGGGTTTTGGTAGGAGAACCTGTAAAAGAAGACCACTAGGAAGATTTACATACAGATTGGAGGACAAAAATAAAAAGAAAATTAAAGACGCAGGATGGGAAAAGGGATTCAGGTGGCTTCGAACAGAGAGCAGTGCTGGCTCTTGTGGAGACGGTAATGAACGCCTGAATTCCATAAGAGACTACTGGATTTGAGGTTCTCACGGGGTGATTATGAAGACTACGGTCTTCTGGGTTGAAACGCCGTGTAGTTGGAACAGAACCCGAAGTTTCGGAGAGACATATCACCTCCAATTTCAAGGTCGAAGAGTAATCCAAGCAAGATGCTATAAGAAGTAGGCACGGTTCTCTCAACTGGCCTTCTGCTTCTCCTTACTTCTCGACCCTGAAGATGGAGGCAGTATGTTGCTCTGATACGTCTGGATCTCTCGGCGAAACACAGCATTACAATTCTGAAGACCGTTCTCTTAAATGGATATGAGTTTTCTTGCAAATTATTTACCTTCACATATACATATACAAATATATGTACACATATGAGAGATTATTGCGATTGTGAAAAAATCGAAGGTGAGGATTTTTACGCATTTACACGCTTTCAGCGCCCCCTGCGAAGAAAAAGTCGCTTTGGGGATGCCCTCTGTATGTACGCATGGATGGATGGACGGATGGTTATGTTCCTCTAGAGCGGCTGGTGGTTGGACGAATTTTGCTCTTATTTCGTGATCGAGAGTTTATCCAACACAGACCGGAGACCGGTGGACACGAATTATTCTAACGCCAAAAATAGAGGCAATTCAGATGGGCCACAAGAAACCAAATGGTGATTTTCCTAAGACGGCTCAAATTACTTTCATCGGATTTCAGTACTTTATGGTGACCATCTCCACAGATAAAACTGCTATGTGGTATCGTCAGGAAAACAACGGTACGAACACTAATCGTGACGTCCGTCGTAGAAATAAAAAAGAGATGCGAATGCTACGCTTTCTTCTGGCTCCATTGTAGACAAAATAAACTACGCACCGCATTCTGCAACTGTGTGGTGTCCTCAGCAACATCCGTCATAAAGTACGTTCGTTATAACGGACGCATTTTGTGCGCTCGTGTGGCCCCAGCCTAAGCGAACCAAATGCTTATACAACGCGTACATTTCCTTACTTGTATAATCACGGATCATTTTGGCCCAGCAAATAATAATCGATTTCGTTTTCAAGGTAACGTAGACAATGTCACACGTATACGAGAACACATGTGGAATGCCTCTGCACTAATGTTCTAGTTNATTTCCTTACTTGTATAATCACGGATCATTTTGGCCCAGCAAATAACAATCGATTTCGTTTTCAAGGTAACGTAGACAATGTCACGCTTATTTAACGACACTGTCGTTTCGGAAAGAAATGGTCATGGTCCAATCGCTGTACTAGCTTGGTATTTGCGTTGGGGGGAACTGAGGAAAGCCACGAAAGATCTCAGTCAGGATATCCGGTGTTCCGGCTGAGATACGCGTTGACCATCTCCCGAGAAGTACAGGCTGCTACCGGCAAGCCAGCCCATTCGGTTTCCTTGTGATGTGTTACGCAAATCAACCAAAATATTCTCGACAATTCGTTCTTCCCTCTCATAAAGCTGACAGAAATATTAACGACTAGTCATTATGTCTATCGGTTTCTTCTTCTTCTTCTTCTTCTTCTTCTTCTTCTTCTTCTTCAGCTTTATTGGCTAGGCCCTCTTCTCTGTCCCAGTTTAGAATTAATTTCTTAAAGTATGAATCTTTCAGACATTTGGTAGAAATTCATGAGCTGAAGATCAGTACACTGCATAGCATCACCTGCAGGAACTACGCATGCACAGAAAAATTGCAGTCGATTGTTTCATGATATAATAATAGTTCTGCTAAGCACGTGGTGCAGGGAAAGGAAAACTTTACCTTACGAAGGCATCCATTAGGTTGTGAATGATGTATGGTTGAACGAAAAATACAGAGTGTTAATTCCTATGTCTTACCTAGCATCCGTTTTGAAACCCGGTTTTCATTTTGAGGCTCTGTTCCGACAGGAGAGTCTGAGGACGAAGGTTTGAACCAAGAGGAACTGGCGCTGTACGCGTTGCGACGATGGCACAAAGTATGCCGCGGAGGCTATCGCCTGGTGCCAGAACACGTAGAGACGAGGTCTCTGTTCCATCCGAAGAAGCCTGGAATCGAACAAGTGCGTATAATATCATAGATCAGGTCCAGCGAATTCACATTATTTAAGTAAATTCATGTAACTGAAAAGTCGCTGTGCTTTATGACATACAAAGAGCAGTTAAACCAATTTATAAGTTTTACTGGTTTTGGTACTCTATTGACATCTCTGTAAATGAATTCGCAACTCTGACTTTGGTTTTTATTTTTCCTTTTATCTTGATATTATCCTTAAATAAGCTACAAGCACATTTCCCAGAGTCCATTCTTGTTTATAGTTCGGAATTATCCCCTCGTCTAGGTAAATACATAACCCCTGGAGTTGATACTACACCGCATGAAACAGTTATCCTATACTCGTATTATGATATTCAGTTATGGGATTTGCTATAAAGTTTCTCAGTTTCTCTGCCTTTGTATGAATTGAAAATCAGAAATTAGTAAATTTTACCACGGATGTTTTTATAGGCTACTTTAGTCCCTATTTTAACGTCTTAAATTGGTTATACGTGTTGTAAAGCAGAGGATTTTTTTTTTAATTTTGCGTTTTGTTTTATATGGGTGTGATATTTTATTTTTTATCCCAAGAGATGAACACAGGTTGAGTTTGTTGGACTTGAGGTTCTTACAGCGGTCACTATGAAAATCTGACTTTGTGTTCCACTTCTTGCAGTCTATGTGCAAGCTTGCGCTCCTACAAAAACTTCAGAACAGCGACATACTGGACCATACAAAATCCATAAACCAAACACATGCATGGCAACAGCACAATAACCCATATAACCTAGAACAATCCGAGGCATTGCAAAAAAAGAAAAGCATCACAGCATCACAACAGAGCACAGGGTTCCTTCATCAAAACAACTTACGCTACTGATGATGGCCAATTAGGCCGAAACATATAGTATTATACAGTAAAGAGAACAAAACGAGTGAATATTAACTGAAGCTGCACATAGACGGTAAGAAATAGAACAGAAAGTCAGATCTACACAGTGCAGCAGGTTGCTGCAATATAACAAGTTACTACAAATGATTCATTCCATTTCAAAACACTATATTTTCCTAAGTATTATACATAGAAATAAGATTGATACATGAAAAGAACCGTAATCTCGCCAAATTAAAAATGTTGTATGTATGCCCCGTTAGTCACACGACACACGTCCAAACGGTAGTCGAGTTCGGTCCAAACATTTTGTAGCACTCCCTTGCCAATGGTCATCACTGCAGCATCGATGCGTTCCCTGTGCTCTACCAGTGTTGTTGGTAGTAGGGGTATGTAAACACGATCCTTAACATACCACCAAAGGAAGAAGTCACATGGCGTTTGATCATATTTTTATGTGTAATACTTTGGAAAATATAGTGTTTTGAAATGGAATGAATCATTTTTATGTATAAGACTACGAAAAATGTGAACTTTTGGATTTTAACGGCGCGTAGTTGGGTAAAAGTATGCGAAACGTCGGTGGATTTTACCGAACTAAACGGAGTTGCAACACAGAAGACTGTACTCTTCATTCGTTAAGGATCCTTAAGAAAGTCAAATCAGGTTATGACAGCCTGACACTGGCTCATTCGATCCCCGAGTAAGGACACAGTTGAAAGTCATATTTTCAAGTTAATGTCTAACCTCTGAATGTTGCTTTGTGATGCAGGGGAAGCTGGAAATGTGGGTGGACATGTTCCCGATGGGAGAAGTGCCTCTGCCTCCTCCAGTTGACATAACCCCCCCACCACCGCAGGAGTACGAATTGCGGGTCATCATCTGGAACACAGAAGACGTAATATTGCAGGATGACAGCTTCTTAATAGGAGAGAAAATGTCTGATATTTTCGTAAAAGGGTAATGTCATATGGTCATACATAAATATGTCTCATTTTAACAATTTATTTCGTTACAAGTAATGTAGGAATGTTTAGTGGAGTTATGCGTACAAGTTTTTGAAGTTAGAAGTGCTTTTACGTATTAGCTTAGGTAAATTATAACCATACATTAAGAGCAGATTTAACTCGGGTAATGCTTGCTACCATTCAGTCCAGAACCTTTTGTCTTCTCGTCTGCTGTCCAAAAACATAAAAATTAGAATATACAAAACTATTATATTGCCTGCGGTTCTGTATGGATGTGAAACTTGGTCTCTGACATTAAGGGAGGAACATAGACTGAGGATGTTTGAGAAAGGGGTTTTGAGGAGAATATTTCGACCGAAGAGAGATGAAATGACAGGAGGTTGGAGAAAACTGCATAATGAGGAGCTTCATAACTTGGACTCTTCATAAAGTATAATTAAAATGACCAAGACAAGGAGGATGAGGTGGGCAGGGCATGTAACACGAATGGGAGAGACGAGGAATGCATATAGGATATTGGTGGGAAAGTCAGAAGGAAAGAGACCACTGGGAAGACCAAGGCGTAGGTAGGTGGACAATATTAAAATAGATCTTAGATAGGATGGTATGGTATGGATTGGATTGATCTGGCTCAGGATATGGACCAGCGGAGGGCTCTTGTGAACACGATAATGAACCTTCGGGTTTCTTAAAATGCAAGGAAATTCTTGAGTAGCTGCAGAATTGGTGGCTCCTGAAGAAGGTCTCAGCTCCATGAGTAAGTAAGTAAGTAAATAAATACGAGTAAATTATAACCATAGGTTCAATGCAAAAGTGCATAAATGGCGCACAATTAGTACACTGTGTCTGCCTGTCTCTCCATCAGCGGGTTCTAGTTCTGACAGTGTTTAACAGATTTATATGAAATTTTGTAGCAGGTGCCTACGCCTACATTTAGTAGGTGAATTCAATTTTGGACCATACAATTGGAGGAGCCGGGATAGCTCAGTCGGTATAGCAAAAGATCACGTGTCGGACAGCTGGGGTTCGATTCTCGGCAGGGGCAAGATATTTTCTCCAATCCAGAGCATCCAGACCAGCTCTTGGGCCCCACCAAGTCTCCTATCCAGTGGGTATCGGGGGCTCATTCCCTTATGGTAAAGCTGTCTGGATGTGAAGCTGACCCCTCGCCTCCATCTAGTGCCGGGGTCAAGAATGGTGGAGCTATATCTTCACTCCTCCACACGTCTACATGGCATGGTACTTAATTAATGAAGTGAAGGGACAACTTTACCTTTTCAATTTTACCATATAATCTGTATATTTATTGATTCGAAACATAAGAATCAAACATTACTTTATAATTTATCAAAAACGGCTACTGTGCAAACACTCAGTACCAAGCAGTTATACAGATAGAGTTATCAATATTGCTGATGAGCCATCGTGGACTCCTGGTTACGAAGCGTCTCTCTCCACAGGTGGCTGGTTGGTGACGACGTCCAGACGACTGACGTCCACTACAGGTCGCTGACTGGAGAAGGCAACTTCAACTGGCGCTTCATATTTCGGTTCAATTACCATGCACCAGAGAACAAGATTATCATAGTTAAGAAGGATTCACTTTTCCTCAGGAAGTTAACTGAACATAAGATTCCATGCCGCTTGCATCTTCAGATCTGGGACAACGACTTCATAAGGAATGACCTTCTGGGTAAGTCTGCCCTTACATCAGTACTCAGTTTGTATTTCGTGCTTGTTTCAAAGTGTTAAATTTTGACTTTTCATTTTTCTCACTTCTTTTTTATGGAGAAGGGTTGGGGCGCATTTCCTAAAACGATCCCAAATCACAGTTGCATAGTGAAGAGTGTTATGCCATTAGGGGGGGGCTAATAAAATAAGACTAATTTACTCAGACGCCACCCTTTCAGTTAGGATGTTCGCTGCATCCGGCTGCCGTTGACTGCCTGGGTCAGTTCTGCCTTCGCTTGGGCCAGGATCGCTCTGGATCGGGCGTGGACGGCTTGGTAGTGGCGGGGTGAATCAAAACTCCCTGTGTACATCCTACCCTAATCACACTGATCTATTTACACTGTTATTTACGATGAAGTGAGGCCGTCTTCGGCCAGTTTACCTAACATCGTTTCGTTACTCCTATTCTAATTTCCCTCTCGGGGGTTATGCCGTGAGACTGTTGCTTCCCTCCATTGCCTGTCATTCGCTACCCTGGCGCTCGTGGGGCACACTGGAGACTGTGCTTCAAGTTCACAACAACACTGAATTTTAAGTAACATGGCTAGTATGAGCAAAGAGGCTTACTTGAAATAGAGACGCAGATAAGTGTCACCATCCACCATCTTGTAGTACCCGTGTCGAACAGAGCCTCCGGCTGACTGCCGAAATTTACGTTTTTAGATTGCTCCCTGATTGAGTTTTTTCCTCATTTTTATATTATTAAAATCGTTGACGCAGCAGCTAACAAAGAGGGAGGTTAACTCCTCCCTTCGTCCTCAATTTCGGGGCGGTGGGTCCCCCCATTGGTTAAACTCAGCTCTTCGCGGGCAGCCCGCGGCGCCTCCCTCTTTGCATTTTGCAATTTCGTGGTACCCCAGTGGCTTACAAACGCCACTTACAAAGCGGAGCGATTACGCCTCCCCGATGACTAAGATATTTGTTGACCGCCTTCCACAGCCTATGTGTGGCCAACACTGCGCTAATTACTGTGAAGCGCTCTCGTAATGTTTAGGCAATGCTTTTGATTTCCAGTCTCGAAATTGCTGCATAACAAAGAGCTTTACAATGTGTATGTTTCAGCGAATAATACGAGTAATAGCAATAATAATTCAATTCAATTCAAGTTATTTACGTGCAAACTTAACAGCACAGAGGCAAATTACAAGGTTAGCACCACTACATAGAAATACACACAAATAATTAAAAATACAAAATATGACAGTCTATATAATGACAATAATTTAATAATAATTCCAAGAAAAATTAAACTTAGCGTTAAGAGGAGAGGAAAATAAAATAACTACGTATATTTCCAATAGTTATTCCATTTTGTGGCAAGAAAGAACAATACACGTACATACACGCATAAAGTTAATAATAATAGCAATAACTCAATTAATTTTTACTTATTTGTGTGCTAACACAACATCCAATATAATAATAATAATAAGAAGAAGAAGAAGAAGAAGAAGAGAATTGAATTCAATTCAATTCCATTCATGTTTATTTACGTGCAAACTTAACAGCACAGAGGCCAATTACAAAGCTAGCACGAATAGAGAAATACACAAAAATAATTAAAAAACAAAATACAAAAATGATAGTCTATATTAATTACACAGCATGAATAAGATACAGAAGCAAACATACACAGACAAAGCCACAATGTGAGAATTTGAATTTCAAATAGAGCAGCATACAACAACAACAACAATAATAATAATAATAATAATAATTCAATTCTTGTTTATCTGCGTACAAATTTAACAGCACAGAGGCTAATTACAAAGTTAGCACGATTACACAGAAATACACAAAAAATATATTAATACTAATGTAGGCGCTACAGTTCATGATGAATTTTTGCCTCAGTTTTACAGTTTTTTAATCATATAGCTCTAGATCGCATTAAGTGGAGGAACTGTTTTGGAAGAGACTGTGGACCTGTCGTCTGACAGATTACTGACGAATGAATGAATATATATATACAGAGTTCTGATTGAAAACTGATGGGAAGAAACATTTGGAAGACCTACGTATAGGCGAGAGTGTAATATTAAAACGGTTCTTAAAACTAGAGTTGGAGGTTGTGGACTGCATTATTTTGTCTTAGGGTTCAGGCCAGTAGCGGGCTCCTGTGAACATGGCAATGAGCCTTGGAGTTCCATAATATGAAGGGAATTTCTGACTAGATGAGCCACTATTAGCTTCTCAAGGAGAAATCTACTCCATGGAGTTAGTTCAGTTAGCTTCTAAGTTTGCAACAAAGACTAACTAAATAACTCTTGCTGACAAGGTATGATTTCATTTGTCAGCGAATATTTGTAACGCATTTGAAGACCTAAGCAAAGGATTTCGTATATGAAATCATGTGTTCGCAGCTGAAAGCACAAAAGCTTAATGAAGACGTCTTACGCCTTTAAAAATGTAAGTGCAGTTCAGTAAAGGTTATCCCATCGGACAATTTGTTTTTAGAGTTAACCACTGAACTTTGAATATTTGTTTCAGGGTCTCTGACATTTGATCTGGCCAAGATGCCTCGAGGGGCACGATCTTGCCGTAGCTGCGGCCTTAATATCGTATCAAAACACGCACCTAGAATCAGTCTTTTCAAGATGTCTCGCTTCAAAGGCTGGTGGCCCTTCCAGAATGTACCACCCGATGGTCTTCAACCCAAACTGACAGTAAGTATACATTGTTTCATTTGGCAGCATTAACAATATGAAAATATTTATTTGGTAATTACAAATGAACATAAAATATAGCTATTCTAAAACAATAAAAGTCCGTGGCCTGTAGTCCGCAAGCGAACTATACTGACCGAGCGAACGGCGCTTGTCGGCGAAGTTAGTGCCAACTTTGCGGATAGAGGGTGTCATGTGGTCAGCACAACGGATTCCCACGGCCGTTAATCTCGGTTTTCTAGACCGGAGCCGCTATTTCCTTGAAATAGTTCCTCAATTATTCTGAACAAAAAGCAAAAATTATACAAATATGAAGAACCCTTCGCTAAGTTAGCAGAATTTCATAATATGCCTCTGGTTCTACACACTTACATAATGGTTATTTCTAAGAGAATTTGCAGTTTTTTATCATTTTTCTCGGGAAAATGCTGAGATATAACCCTAACTGAAAGCGTCACACGCGTAAACGTAAGACTTTTGTTACACTCAATGTTGAAAATGGGGATACGTTCCAGAGATGTTATTTTGGCACATCTACTTTCCTGAAGAAATGTAATAGATTTATGACACCATTACGTTGTCTGTGGGTGGACTCCTGTAAAAGTTGGATAACTTTATTAGATTTCACAAAATTTATGACACTAAATACACCAAAATTACCTAATTTCAATTTCCTTCAATTAGTAATGACAACATGCCGGACACACCAACTTCTGTTGTTGGAGTGATATCACCACAACTCATTATAGGATGCTGAAATGATGTATGGTGAGAGATTTTAGAAGAAATATATACCTGTACTAAAATAATATTTTTATACAACTGGAAACAACAATGCCAAGTCAGTGCGAAACTTGAAACGTTACAGCAGTAACCACTGAACCACTGAAAGTAGGAATATGAAATTCGATATGAAGCGCTCTTACAAATTATGTATGAAATATTTTTTGCAAGTTAACGCTTATAAACATGGAAATTGTTCAAATATTTGAGGTCATATTAAATATTTTATGAAGAAAGCAGTCTTCTGGGATTTGGCACCGTGTATATGTGGTGTTAACCGACGTTTCGGAGGAACGTATCGCCTCCATCTTCAGGGTAGAAGAAAAAATATAAGAAATCTGCAAGCGAAGAGACCGTGAGAACCGGTAAAAGCAG